ATGCTATGTCTATATATTCTATTATAAAATGCGTATTTATTTTAAAGGAAAATATTGTTTATAATTTGAAAGGAATCATACTGTTATTTTTCAAAAGTTAAAATGATAAAATAATGAAAAATCCATAAAATATATTTTTTCTTTTAACAATTTTCTTTCTATAATTATGGTTTGTTTGCATAAAGATGTGTTATTCCTGATTCAAGAATTTAAATTATAACATAATAATAGTAATGTATCATTAAACTTATAAAGTATCATTTTTTTAAAAATTTTTTATATTAATTTTAATCATTTATACAAACTACATAATATATTTAAAAAATAGCATTATATAGATAACTATATTAATAACATATAAAAAAAATCAAGTGTACCATATAAAAAATGTTAAAAAAAGAATTTTTAGAACCGGTGTAGTGTGTGAAAGTGATTGCCGTGAGATTTCGAATTCTCACACCATCAAAATCTCACGGTTCATACCGTGTGAAAGTGATTTCATGAGATTTTGATTTTTATCGCTTCAAATACATTGGGGGCCATTTAAATATTCAGAATCTCACGGCTATTCAATATTTCAAAATCTCATAGATTTTTTTAAAATCTCACATTACGAATTCAATATGGATTAGATTTTCTCAAATTTAAAACGTCAGATTTTAATGTAGCTGTCAAATTGAAAATATTTCTATATAATACATTTTAATTTGAAAAGAAAGGAAAATTTCCTGTATTATGAAGTAAGTTTTTAACTAACAATATATATTATATTTTATAAATATTTTTAGTGATAATTTTTCCAAAATAAATGAATTTTTAAAATTTTTAAAAATTTCACTTAATGTCAATAAATCTAACTTTATTAGAAAATGCACGGCCTACAAGATAAAAGATGACAATCTTTACTACATGATAGGGGAAAGTAAATTTTAGATATTATTTTATTTCAAATTGTCATAATGTATATGGGTTTATAAATATATTAATTTTTTTTTAAAATTTAGGATAATTATTAAATTTGATTAGAACATTTCATATATTTTTGTTAAAGTCTTAATTAATTTATTTTATAGGTAAATTAGGATGTAAGTGTATTTTATATTTCAAATTATTTTAATATATTTTATGTTTATATATATATAAGAACATCTAATATATTTACTAAGATTTTACATATAGGCATTATAAGATAAGTGCTATTTATATAACTAAAATTTAATTTAGATTATCACATAATTTATTATTTCTGCACCATCACCTAATATTATTATAAATATAAAATTTAACATTGCAGAAGTTAACACTTTGGGTGAAAGTAAATGATAGATACTTTATAATGTATAAATATAAAATTTTCAATGCAATTTTCATTATTATTTAGCATTATAAATCTTTAAGCCATTGTGTTTTTATTTTTTCTGCTTATTATTATGTATATAATTTAATGATATATTATTTTAGAAGAAAGAAAAGTTATATGGTCAGGAGATGAACAAAGGAAGATAATTAAAATGATACATGAGGGGGGGGGGTGTATCTACAGTTCTAGGGAGGGCATCTGGGGATAAAAAAACTAATCAAATAATAACTGAAAAGTAAACATTTGCAACATTATCTTAATTAATTTTTTTATAGCTTTTATTGGTTAGGAAGCAATAAACACATTAGGGAGTTTATCAAATCCTGTGAGGTTTGTCAAAAATCAAACAGTCGTTTTGATAAAACTTCTAATGTTTTGCATAATATAAAGGTAGTACCAAAGTCTTGGTATCAAATTGGCATCGATTTAATCCAGATGCCAGAGTCTAGTGAAAATTTAAAATATATTTTATGTGCAATATGTTATTTCTCAAAATATTTAATGACCATTGCTATAAAGGATAAAACAGCTAAATCTGTTGTGAAAGCCTTATACATTATTGTCAACACCCACCAATGTTATGAAGTTATAAAATTAAAAATATCAATTTTAACTTTGAATTTTATTTGTTTTTAATTTAATAAAACTAAAATATATAATATATAGATTATAAACGATCAGGGTAGGGAATTCTGTAACAATGTTTGTACATAATTCCATAAATATTGTGGGATAGTACAGAGAATAACCTCCGCCCACCACCCACAAGCAAATGGTTTGGTTGAGAGAGTTAATAGGACAATCTAGAACCGAATAGCAAAATCGGTTTTGGATATCCCAACTGACTGGCCGGACGCTTTAGTAAGGGTGTGTGGGACCTACAACCATACACTCTTTTACAGGATTTTCACCCTATGAACTGATGTATGGTCAGAAACCGCGACGTCCTCTTACAGTTAAGATAATCTTTATATTTTTAATTATTATTTAGTTACAAAATAAAATTAATGATGTATTAGCCTTACCAGAGGTCATGGCAAGACGAATGTCTAAGGGAAAGATATAAAAATGGCGCATCTCAAGAAAATAACAAAGCTGGCTATATAAAATATTGGCACAGCTCAGCTCAAATAGAGAAAGAATTATGAGAAGAGGACTAATGGTGCAAAATCTTTTGTTGTGGGACAAAAGGTTCTTGCATGGAATCATAAAAGGTCAGATAGGAAAGGGGGAAAATGTTGAACCCCTGGATTGGCCCTTAATTGATCAATAAAATATTTAATAAGGGTAATAATTATATTATATAAATTATTTATTGTATATCAAGGTGTATATGAATTAATAACAACAAATAATGTTATTTTGAAAACAAAATACAATCAATTTATATAATATAATTATTACACTTATCAAAAATTTTATTGATCAAATAAGGGCCAATCCAGGGGTTTAACATTCCCCCCCCTCCTTTCCTATCTACCTTTTATGATTCCAAGCAAATGAGATTTTGAAATATTGAATAGCCGTGAGATACTGAATATTTAAATGGCCCCCAATGTATTTGAAGCGATAAAAATCAAAATCTCATGAAATCACTTTCACACGGTATGAGCCGTGAGATTTTGATGGTGTGAGAATTCGAAATCTTATGGCAATCACTTTCACACGCTACACCGGCCTGGGAATATTTAAGAAAAAATTAAATACAGGCCTGGTCGGGTTTACAAGTCTGTTAAAAGCTATATTAAGAAAAACATAAGAGAGAGGGGAACAAAAAAAGGTCTCATTGAGATGCGCGGAAACTAAGATAGCTTCCTTTGAACATGGTGATTTGAGATTGTAACATAAAAGGGAATCCATGATCACCATTAATTTAAGATTTTTTTTTTACCTAAAATCTTAAAAAAATGATAGCCTAGGGGATCTAGGAACCCAATTTTAGAAATAATATGGATGCAGTAAGATCTGGAAAGTCTTGGTACTTTCAAATTTTTGGCCTTTCGTCTGTAATAAACTGATCGATGTTTGGATTAGAAGAAAATTTAGAGCACAAGTAAAATTCCAAATAAGATGTTCAGCTTCTACTGAGTGGTAGGGGGGGGGGGAGTTTGCATCCAATTTTTCTTGAGGAGGGTAGGGGGTAGGCATTTTTAATGGGGGTAATATAAATTTATTGAGGGGATATATTTTTTGATGAAATAGGACAAAATATATTGCTGTAATAATTAATACTTTTATTATAAACCTAAATACAATGATATTGCTTATCATCAACCAAAATTATATATTTCAATTGATCATACATTATTTTCCAAATAAAACTTTCTGCTATCTTATATAATTTAAAAGGGTTACTGTAAGACATTCTCAAACAATGCCAAACAATAAGCTATAATAATGAATTCATTGGATTTTTTGAATTCATGATCTAAAAAATAAATAATTTTCACAATATTTTGATAGTTGATAGTAGAGCTAATATAATTGAAGTTATTTTTAAATTTTGTAAATGAATACCATTATAATTAAAAAGGTGTAATTAATAATGCAAAAAAGGAAATTGCTAGGGGGGGTTAGGCATAGGTTCTTGAGAGGTGCTTGCATCCAGTGGAATTTGTCATGTAAGCACTGGGTGGTTTCCTCTAAACCAAGGAATGTTTGTGAGCTCATCTGGTCTTTTCCTATAGATATTGTAAGTAAACGGGTTCCAGGAGGTTTGAGTATTTGACCAACCGTAATTTGTTTGAATTATATAGTTAATAGCAAGGGAGGTTAAGGTCTACCGTTTATAGTCTAAAAAACGGGAGTTTTTCCCGTATCATTTACAATTATGCTCATAGCCTAGTCTATACCCTATCGAGGAATGGTAATGGGAGAGATTCGTCCTCTACAATTTCTTAAAGTAGCCAAAGGAGGGTTAAGAAAGTCTCTCTGTGCCGAGGACTGTGGAAGAAATAAAAGGCACGAATTTTTCCTCCACAAGCAGGCAGTTTTCAAATAAACTATTTCTACCACTCACAAGCCACTTATAACCTCGCATTGAAAACAAGAGAAAGGAAGACTGACTAAGAAACTAAATTAAGACTTCTAATTTAACACTTCTCTTTAAACTTATCGTCGCCAATGTGGTGTTTATAAAAGGTATTATAAGAATCAAATATAATTTTATTTTTAACAAATTGAAAAGATCAAAAAGATTATTTAACTTTAACAATAATTTGTTTATATTGATCCAAAGTTGGTAAATAAAATACAATTTATATAAAGCTAATACATATACAAATTATATAAATGATACTCAACAAATGGCGTATCAACTGCTTCTTCTGAGGCCTACATTAAAAGGAGTTCTATCACCACTAGATAATCAATGAAAGATCGACGTAAACAAAATTTAGTATTTTAATGGCTTATGAGAAAAATAACAGAATTTAATATTTGTACAAATTTTTAAATCTTTACTTTTTGTTTTTATTCGAAAAAATATTGGCCTCCTAAGTAAGCAGTTGAACCTCTCCCCTACCCCTCCATCAGCAAAAAATTCCTAACTACAGCCTTGAACCTCTAGCATATATATTTTTATTTTATTACACTATTTTTTAAATATGAATTTATATTTAAAATTTAATATAAAAACAGCATTTTCATAAAATGGTTAAATATTTTATTCACCTGATTATGCGAGCTTAATATCCCACAGGTAATTTTTATACTATATAATAAAGCCCGTTATACATCTATATATAATTTTTCATAAATATAAAATTTTTCTACATATTGTTTGTTATTAAGTTTTTTTATCAATTAAGATATATTCAATTTTATTATTTCTAGTAACAGAAGCTTTTTTTAAAAAATACAATTATTTCTCATGAACATTTATAATTAATTTCATTTGATTCACTTATATCAAGGGATTAAAAATTAATTTCACTAATTTGGTTACATAATGAATGTTGATTCCTTCATATATTTTAAGAATATATATTTTAGAAAAAGGGTTAATAAATTATGTAATTAAGTAGGATTCATTGTTTATAATATAAAAATAATTATACAATTAAACTTAATAAATTTATTAAAATGTTTTATAAAAAAGCAGACATATAGAATTTATATATAATCTCTTGAATATTAATTTATTATATAGGTACAATAGCAAAGGCCATTCAATCTATCTCTTCAATGTTGAGAGTGCATTGAAAGAAGAATTAATATCTTTATATTTAATATGAACTCACATTCTACCATCCCTTTAAAACAAACTTTTAATTTAGATTATCAAAATAGCCATTGTTCTGATATCCTTAACAGTTCATATCAGTCAAATACCAACTATAAATCACAGACTGGTCCAAATGACTATAATGAATATAACAACTTTGGTAACCTTAACCACAATAAAAACATTGCAATTGACAGACATAACAATCAAAATCCATATTATTTGATTAAACATGACCAAAACAATTTAAACTTTTATGCCACAAGCAATTCTACATTTTCGAACTCAGTTAATTCCAAAAATTCTATTTTTTCCAATCATCGAAGATCACCATCCATTTCAAAAAATAAATCACCAAGCCATCTTTCAGGCAGAACTCAAAGGGGTAGACCATTCAATGTGCCTGATTGTTATGTTGCCCTACCTAAGGGGAAAAAATATATAGCTATCAATTTGCTCAATCAACAATCAATCATTCTTGTCATCGATGTAAATAATATTTTATTAAAAAATAGTAAAATATTTTATAATTAATAGTTTTTGCATTAGCATAATTAGACCAAAATCATAAATATGATGTGTAAAATAATTTTATTTCCTTGTCCAAATATAAAAACACATTTGGCATGTAGCCTTAGGCATAGCCACGATTATCTAAAGGGAAATTACTTAGTAGAGGTTGGTGAAATTAGTGCAAAATATTTTTTTATGGGGTAGACCAGAAATTTACAAAATTTTTTTCTATTATACAAATTATGCCTTTTTTTTCTTAATTAAGAATTATTTCGGGCCAAGTAACTTGTATACAAAATTATTTTATGGACTTGGCATATTTTTTTATAATTTAAGCTGTTAACTTTTGCCTTTGAAAATTTTCATGTTATGCAAGTTCATGCCTCCTTAAATTGTATCGAAAGGCTTTAAGCTTGCCTTTTGAAGTCTTAAAATAAATTTGGTTTTACACTTCATTTTTCTTTCTGATTCATTTACAAAGTCATTGAGATTATTTAAGCATATTGTAATTATAGTTTAATCAAATCCTGCACAGTCTAGGAATGAAATTTAATTTTATGGAAAAGGAGGGGAGATCTAAGATTGGGGACACACATCTCTACCTACCCTCCCTCAGTAGTACACTATTGATTTTTAAAGTTGCCCAATCATTATCCAATTTTAGAATTTTATTGGTTTTGGTACATGATTATATTATATTTCTTCAGTTGCATATTTATTTTGAAATAAATATTTTAGAAATAATTCTTTTTTTGTGTGTGTTTTGTTGTCATTTTCATTCACAAGAATGTTTTAAATATTATCAGTTAACTTCTTGAGCCCTCAACCCTTGTTATATCAAAAAAGGTATAATCCTCAAACCTTATGGATTATTGTACCTTAATTTCTTCTCTCATATTGCTTGGTCTAAAAAGAAATTATTCTGCTACCAATACTGGATCTTGTAAAAAAGTGTTTAATTAACTCTCTTATGCGTAGAACTTTAATTATATTCAATAAAAATTTATGAAGTCTTACTTTAACATCGAAAAAATAGATTAATTGATGCTATTCAATATTTAATTCATTTAGAAATGATTTTTGTTTTTTTTGTAACTACTTTGTTTTTTTAACATTTATAACAAATAAATAACAAATATTCTAAACAAAAGCGAAAAGGACCAGTCAATACTCAACTTTTTAAAAAGAATTAGCCAGTCAGAAGAAGGGAAATCCTGGCCTGGACCAGTATCGGATCCTGGATCTGGTTCTCTGTAGATTATTAAAATTTTGCATAAAACTCATTCCCAAAGGTTCCTAACCCCCCCCTTCCCTTGCAAGTGCCCTGTATGAGATATATTAATACTTTCATATTATTTTTCATAATAGATTGCATTATTAATATTAAGTTAAAAAAAATAGATTTGAATGATAATAATGATTCATTATTATCACAATTACATTTTTACAGTTTAAAAATATAATACAAAGCTTTATAAGTAATGCAAAATAAAAATTTTAATGATTTTGGCTCTTATCAAAATGGTATCATTTAATGTTAGCTTACAGAATTCTAAATAAATCATAAAAATGTTAATATAATATACTAATTTGTAACACAAAATCATAAATATTTTTCTTTGTTCAATAATCTGAGATTTTTTCCCCACATTTATAATATGAAATATAAAATGTATTTTGTTAATTTTAAAATGTAATAAATAGGGTTTTTTTAAAAAAAATATTAAATCAACTTTACCTTCTATAAGTACTTTTTATTAGTTCATTTTAATAGGTTATTTTAAATATAAATTTTAGATTTTTAAATTTTAAAGCTTTGTAAATTTAAAAAATAAATAACGAGGACATAGACCTAACTTATACGCTTTTAAAGTAAAATCTCAATACACATAAGGTCTGCCGGGGGAATAGTATATCATCAAAATTGCACTGCAAACCTACATTTTATGAAATAATATAATTTTTAAAAAAACTTAGTTTCTTTGAAAAAAATATAAAGATCCCCCCCCCCCCATCCGCCTCCTCAATTCATTTTCACTACAATATTTTTTTTATTAATTTAAAAACAAAGTTTGAAATGCTCTTCAAAATAAAATAAATTTTTTTTAAAGAATGTTCAAATTAAACGTGATTTTTGATCAAGTTGCCAAATCTTTATTTAAAATCTGCTAAATCGAGCCGTTTAACAACACTAATGGAAGAAGACGTTGTTTAATTTTATTTTAAAATTTTAAGATTTTTTTTATAAGATTAAATTTTTTTATGCATGAAAAATGGCAAAAGATTTACTTATAAATTTTACAAAAAAAAATATTTATAATTTTTGGTTAAAAATAAGGATTTGGCCAAAACATTATTACGCAAACACGAGATTTCTTTGATTGATAGATGTCCTAACCTTTCTGCCTTCTATAAGCAAAATCTCCAGGATTGCGTTATATATTTTGGCTGAAATATTGGGTTAACCATTTTTAAAAAATCGAGCCGTTTAACAACACTATTTAGACTATTTGTAGGTCAAATTTTTTTTCACTCTTATTAATTTATAGGGCTTCGTTGGTTTCGCTTAAAATCAATATCGATACATCTCTGATTAATATCAAGGGAACACTGAAAAAAATTTATCGAGAAATTCTTATAATAGAATGTCCTAAAAATTTGTAAAAATTATTTAACAAGGAGAGATTGTTCTTAAGAATATGATGAAATAATAATTTTTTATAAAAAAAAATCTTAGATTGATTTACTGGCGTCTATGAGAGTTACTAACTGATCCATTTATGATGACATTGCTGCCATTATTACAAAAGGTTGCTATATTAGTAACTTCGGACAACCGTATATTTACTGACAAATATAAATAATATTCGATTTTAGCCAATTTGGTCTTTCGAAATTTTTATTTAAAAAACGAAACAAAAAGAGAGTTGTTTTGTTATTTTTATGCCAAAAAAACACCTTTTCAATAAAAAAATAAATCAAATTAAATTACAAAATCCATATTTGCACCAAATTTAAAATTTTTAGTTCCACAATGATAAAAGGTGAATTGGAAACCTAAGATTGGAACATTTAATTTTTTTAAATCCATTTAAGCCTCAATATTTTCTATATTTCGAAACATAGGCTAGAAATGGTGAAATAGTGTTTTATTCTTTTTGAAATTATCTAAATAGCCGTTTCTGTAAACAGCCTAAAATGGAAGAGGCTATTTCGATTTACCACGTTTTTTTTTATTTTCACCGCAAAAATATAAATAACAAGTAATATTTATATAATGTACAAAATTAACAAACCAGAATAGGGTGTCATAGCTTAAAGGCTGAATATCCTTGGCCAAACAGAAATAATTTTCAAAAACAATCCGAGCGTTAACACTAGATTCCCAAAATATCAAAAAATTAAATTCACGAAACCTTCGAAGCTTTAATGAGAATACATAAATAAGCTATTTTAAATATAAAAATTAAATATGTCCAAAACATAATTCTAATAATTTTTTTAAATTTCAAAAATTTTATATAACGATTTCTATTACAATTTTAGAATTCGCGAAAGTTTTTTTAAAAAAGATTTTGGACATGGTCTAATAAAAAAAAAGAAAATTTGAATCCACCCTTGTATTTATTTCACAAAACATCCTTAAAAAGTTTTTTAAAAGTTCTTAAAGGGTTAATAAAAAAAATATATAACAACTAAGCAAAAACTTAAAATAAATTTTTAAGCAGCACTTAAAAAGTTTTTTAAAAAAGCCTGAAAGCATTAGAAAATGTATGTATTTTTTTTATACTTTTTTTAGCGAAAAAAAAAATTTAATTGCATTTAAAAGAAAAAAAATTAATACTAAAATTTAATTTATTTTTTTAAAAAAATATTTAATTATAGAATATATGATTTTAATAAAGGAATGTTATTTCTTATTTCCTTAACGATTTATAATATTGACATTGAGGAAAATTATGAAATTTATTAATTCATTTCTAGTTTAAAATGAAAGAAAAAATATATATCAGAGATATTTAAAATGAGATAGATAAAATGTTTCAGGTGATGGCATGGGTCTTCCTTAGGTATGTAAGATATCGCCGATAAGTAGAAACTCAACATCTCCAATGATAGAAGTTCATATAAGATTAGTGACGTGTATGTCAAAGATATAAATATTAAAAACATACCGATAGGAGGCCACTGTCGGAATGGATATTGCTAATCGTTAAAACCAATAATAATGACTGCTTGTCATGTATATAATGTTTATAGTAGAGCTGCACCGAACTACAATTTTTTGCACATATAAATTTTTTTAAAAAGCGTTTTAATCAGAATATTTTCAGATCTCGGTTCTTAAAAATCAAGAAAAAGTCTCAGGCTATGTCCTAAGCCGGCTTATGGATACTTAATTGCTTTTTAGTATAGGCTAAAAAGTATTTGAACGAGGACATCCTATTTTGGTTTGTTTTAAGTATTTGGTGGGATTGTTATTTTTCGTATTTTATTCTCGTTCTTAGGTTTTTTCTAAAAAAAATTTCTGCTTTTTTGGTTATTTAGTCTATATTAAATAGCCGGCTAGTTAGTATTAAGCTGACCTAAGATACGGACTCAAAACTTTAAAATTTAAAATTCTAAAGATATGTCTTATCTTTAAATTTTTATAAAGGTTTATATTTATAAGATATATAGTAAATTATGTCTTATTTTTTTAAGTTAAATGGCCCTTAAAGGATAATTATACATATATTTCCATATTTTTTTTTAAAAATGATATTCATAATTTTCACTTGTCTAAAAATAAGTATAAATTTATATGCTAACATACTTTATATTCATATTAAATTTTCTGTTAAAACAAACTTTGTATCTTTATTTTAATAAAAAAGAACAAATTAAATATCAATATAATGAAATATAAAATAATTAATAATTAGGATATTTTTCTTTATGAAGATAAGAGCTATGTAATAATAAGCTTCTCCTATGAGGGCTATCTATATCATCAGCTGTGCAGAAGACGAATTCTGATGGAACACTTGTTGCAAGAGATGCCAAATACTTTTATGCGAAGTATTCCTAAGTTGGAAACCTTGATTATTAAACCCTCCAATAATTAAGAGAATCGATCATAGATAAAATATTGGTATCTTTGTTAATTAATGAAATTTAAATTCGCATCATTTTTATTTACTATAGGTTTCTTAATAAAGGCAATGGAATAAACAATAGGCAAATAAAAATGCACAAAAGTTTTGGGTAATTTTCTTATTTTAGCTTATTAATATACTTTACTTCTTCTCTCTTTAAAAAAATATAAAAAAAACATTAAACATTTTAATTTATTAGACATTTTTTTATGTGAATTAAGAAGATTTATTACTAGAAAGGGAAATTAGTTCAAAAATAAATAAAAAATAAAAATGGATTTGATAGGTACTGCCTAAGGTAGTAACTATCGTATGGTATTTTGTTTATCTTAAATTTGGATAATGTATTTAAAAAATACATTATTTTCGGAAAACGTCTGTGGCCTAGTCGATAAAAGCGCGTGCCAATCCATTAGTTCTGGGTTATAATCCACAAGGATCGTTTTATTTCTGAGGCTCCATTATTAATATTCTTATTACATTTTAATAAATTTTGGTCGGTCTTTAGGAAGTTAGGTTGTTATTTAGAAAATTACTATATATCCATTAGGCAGTATTTATCCTTAACCTTAAAAATGTGTGTAAAAATAAAAATACGTATAAAATCGGTATCGGTTAATTTTTTAAAATATATCAGCCGATCGGATATTTGTTAAAAGTCCAATATTGGCTCCGATCTGATACTTTTATATCGGTGCAACCATAATTTATAGGGCTAGTAAACAACATCAAAAAAAGCCAAATATTATATTGATTAGTATTATTTTTTGAAAAAATTGGTATTCCTAATTATTTTTAATGGAACGTACACAAATCGGTTCTAAATTGATGATGCGTCATATTTATAATCTTGTCCTGGAGATGATATGCAAGCGCGTTCTATAAAAATGTTTTTTAGATATTTTCATGAAAAAAAGAAACCTTTTATTTATCATAGGTAGGAAATCATTATATTTAATTTATATATCTATTTAAAATTTTATAAAAATTTTCAAGGTATATACGATATATCATATATTCGTATTTTATAAATGGGTTTGATTTGATTCAATATATATTTTTTATATTTTATAAATGTCAAAATATGAAGGTTTCATGTAATAAATTTTTTTCCTCTTCAAAATTAAAGAAATGATTAAAAAAATTATTGGTGAACACTGTTTGTTAATAGGCTCGATTTGAGCCGATTTAAAAAAACGACCAGCTCAATATTTATTCAGATAAATATTGCATAAGCCTCGAGATTTCTCTAATAAGATGTCCAAACCTTTGTGCCCTCTGAGAAAATCTTCTGGCTTGCGTAATATTTTTCTGAATAAAATATTGAGTTCGCCGTTTTTAAAATCCCAAATCAAGCCTATTAACATTAGATGTACACTTAAATTTCATTCGTTATAAACCGATACGGCGAAATTTTTAATTGGTCCAGTCCAAAATATTTGAAAGTATTTTTGTTAGGTCCGGGCTGATTTACAGGGCTCTGCTATGAAGCCCATTATATTCATTAATGGTAGATTTATTTTCACCCATTTTCATGGGGTAAGTCAACAAATTAATCACCATTTCCCATGTATTTTAACTTATTTTATTTATTACCTAATTTTGTTATCCCCTTATTTCTATTTTATTATTCAAATTGTTTCATCTACTCGTCATTTTCCTTAGCTCAGACCTATCTACAGGGCAGCCTACTCACCGCTAGGTTTAGTTTTTTATTCCTAGAAACTCCCCATATCCCGCTTTTTATCTTGGGTCTCTATCACAAAGTTTAAGGATCTTAATGAATATATGAGGCCTAACCCTGCGTTCATAGCGCGAATTCGCGTCGAAGTACACCAAAAGGAATGTAAAATTATTATATTTATATGCCTTGCGTTGGAAGTTAACACGAATTCGCGACCAAGTATACAAAATTAATATAAATATAATAGTTATTAATTATATTTGCTTTGCCACAAATTTGCGTCGAAGGCCTCATTTATGGTAACGCATTTGACGTTATTATAAAATTAAGCCAATTAATAGATATAAATTTATAAATATAAAGCGTTATGATGATAACGCTACGATAAAATTTGATAAACATATGGTTTCGAAGCCTTGTTAAAAGATATGCGGATTATAAAAATAATAGCAAATTCGATAAAAAGGTTATGATTTTTCTTAAATATTATCTCTTTCTGACTTTATCTTAAATTAGTTTTAAAACTGAATTAGCTGTAATAGCGCTGTGTTAAATAACGCAACGCTTGAACATAACGCTTTTACTATAAATGCAGCGTAAGTTAGAAAAAATGGCCAAAATTTCTCTGCGCCGAATTATCTATGCGCCAAATCAACCAGCCGAAATGATTTATAAACCGGCTGAGAAATTGTAAATGATTTTATTGTCTGCCTTTTTATTTCTAATTTCTATATATATTCCATTTTAAATATAAGTTTATTTATATAAATAACTAAAAAGAATTTTTAGGGCCCTTCGCATTATTATTCTTATCTAAGTAACAAAGTTTTTTCTGCTTTCTTACGAAAAAAACTATATAAGAACTGAAAATGAATGAAATTTTTGAATTATGATATTGCTGGATGAGTTTGTAAATTATTTTAATTTTACCATCTAGATGATGAAATAAGCATCTTGATTTTAAATCATTTACCTTTTATAACCACCCACTTATGATTTTGATGAAATTTTTATTCAAACTAATTATCATTTAACTTATATTGGGTAACATTTAAGCCTTTTATCGCTTAAATATTTTTTAGAAATTTCAGGAGATAAAAGACCTAATTTGACCCTTCTCGGAATTATTCAATTGATGATATACTGAAAGCTAGTTATAAAATAAATACAACTAGTTTCAAAATATAATGATATTTTATACCTTACATTGTATTTCAATAAAAAAAATTTTTCGGTAGACTTCTTATTTAAGTCAATTGAGATTGCTTCAATTTTTTATAAGAATTTAAAAATAAACATTACTAAAACTATTTTATAATGATTTTCAAAAATTAAAATGATAGCATCGCGATTTCACGGTCAATATAATATAAGCAATATAAACAATTTAAAATATTATCTTTTATCTCCAAAAATAGCCTTGTTAAACGGTTCGATTCGAGTCGATTTTTAAAAACGGCTAACTATTTTATCCAAAAAATATTACCAAGTCAGAAGATTTTGCTCATGGTTGGCGCAAAGGTTTGGACATCTATTAGCGAAATTCTCCTGGCTTGGAAATATTTTTCTGGCTAAATATTGAGATAACTGTTTATCATTAGTTCAAATCAACAACACTATCTAAAGCTTATGATTTTGCCCAGAGCTAAATTGCACGAACCTTAATTTATAAGAGCCTGTTAAAATCTTTTTGACATGGATTCGATCCTATATCTTAATTTTTTTTTTAAAACTAAAATAATTTTGATTGGAGGTTAATAAATAATCAAATTAGCAATATTTTTTTTAAAAAATAGGTCCTTTCTTTATATTATTATTTTTTACTAAGGCATTAATTTTTTTTTTACAATTGTATAAAAGGAATATGAGGATAAATTTAATTTTCACTTTAAGGCATGGTATATAATAATATATTAATGTAAAAAAAATTAACATATATTTTTACATTAGCCTAAATTAAATTATTTATTCATCCATTCTTAGGATAGCACTATTGTATTTTATTAATAAAATTGCATAATGGAAATATGAATATAGGAGCTATTGCCCTTTTTAAAAAATATATATGGATGATAATAAGAAACGACTAGCAAAAATATATTAAAAATAGTGGAGTTGCTTTGGGAGGCGGCCAAAGTGTGTTACACACATAAGTTTAATTTGGGCACTTCTAAAATATATTTAACAAAATTATTATTTAGTGGCAATGTGTTAATTTCAACTTTGAATCATTTTTTGAGCGCGTTTTTAAACATTTAAGAATCTGATTTTACCAAAAATGTATTCCATCATGTTTAAATTAATTAACTACTTTATGAATTTCATACAATTTTGCCATCAATATTTGAACTTAACATAATTTATATTAATCCCATATAGTTTTAAATTATAAGTTACTCATACTAAAAAATTCTCTACAATTCATAAGATAGGTATTCTAAACATGCTGGAATACATTTCCGGTAAAATCAGATTTTTAAATTAAAAAAACAGGCTCAAATAATAATTTAAAGTTGAAAAAATAGCAAATTGCCGGGAGAAACACGTTGACGCTAACATATACACAATCCTTAGAATTGTATAAATATAAACCATTTATAATATCTTTTATATGGAATAAAAATATGAGAAAGAAAGAGTTATCACATGATAGAATTATATATTAGTTTGATCCATCTGAAACTTTTGATTGGACGATGACTAAAAATGGCTAATTCGGTTTAATTTACAGGCGCGTGCCGAATAAAATTTGCCAAGTTTTAAGGCGCGAGTTAATTTATTTCCGCGTTCTTCACTGACATTAATACTAGCCTAGACTCACCATTCACTTATTAAAAGTGTACATACATCGAGGTTGAAATGCCTGAATAGTTTTTTAGCCAATCAATATTAATATAAGATGATTATATTTTCGGTATACATAATTGTCTCATCTCATATTTACTCTCTTTTTTAAAAAAAATAAATAGGATAAATACACCGATTGCCAAAGCGTTTTAGAATACGCCTGTTCCCTCATCGGCCTCAGTCAATCCGAATTTTTCGGATTGGCTCAATTAGTCTATTTTGACTCAGGTAACTTATCAGCAGAAGATATAAATTTTTCTTGTATTTAATAAATAATTAAAAAATTTTCCTTTTTTTTAAAAAAAATAAAATAATTAGGGATGGAATACAAATTTTTAGAACCTGAGGACAGGATAGCATCATCCAGAAGTCCCTCTTCGTCTTGGATAAACGCGGCCACTAAATCTTTCAGAGTAACATAGGAAAATAATTTGAAGAATTTCATAAATTTCATGATATAACATTTATATACACGTACATGTTAATAATCTAGTCTAGACGAAAAATCTTCAAAGATTTTATGAGAATGCGCAAACAACAAGATTTTTGTTCAGATTTTAACTAAAATTTTAAATCTTTTTATAAGTAAATTTTTGTGATTTATTATGCATAAAATATCCTTCATATTTGAAATCACAATTTTTTTAAGAAAAAAAAATCTTTAATGTGATCTTCAAAGATTTTTTGATCAAAATTTTGGAAAATATCTTTGAATGTTTTTTTTTAAATTCTAGCCCTAAGACAATAAGATTGATTTTGGTTTTCTTACTTTTAAATAAAACAAAATTTACGATTTATAAAAATTGAAGTCATTGAACAAGAATGCTGGAATGTACTGCAAAGAATCTAATCATCCTCTCATCAGACAACCATCACTTCAACTTTATCTAAGAGTCAAATTCTATACCGAAAATCCTCAAATTCTTATAAAGTTAATTTTATTTTAAAATATATAATTATTTCTTTTCATGTATACTCAGCCAGGGTTGGGTGCGTTACTTGGGAAAAAAATTAATGGTTCGTTCAAGGAACAAATATAACGATTAAATAATTATTAACTTTGGTTATGTAACCTTATTTAGAAAATGTAATGGGAAAGATAAAAAGGCAGTATGAAGTGGGATTCGAACCGTAGCGAATATCAGTTCTGATAAAAATAACGGTTTGATTCATAAAAAATAATCATATCGGCTCGGGTTGAACCTTTTAAAATCAGTTCGAACTTGCGTGAATTTATTTGTTTAAGGACTTTTCGCCTAAAATCTTATTAGAATTATGCAAAAGAGAAACACATTTTTGAAAATTTTAACACTATTCCTAAAAAAAATTATATTGATATACGATTAAAATATTTAAAAGATTTCTCTTTCTGTCAAATTATATCTATAAAAAGAAATATTAAATTTCATGATTGAGAACACTTCTATAATCCAAATTTAATAGATGGCAAGTCTAACAGCAATATACAAAAGTATTTAAAAATGGCTACTGATATTTATTCAATCAAAATTGAATAACCTATAAAACATTTATGATATTAAAAGCTTTAAACCGTTCAACCTTTTTAGAGATTCGGGTGACAAATATTTTGACGGTTTAGGTTTGTAAGCATGGTTAATATCGATTTAACGGTTCAGGTTCAGTTTGAACCGGATATATAAATTTAAAGTTTTTTTTTAATTATGTTTTATTTAAAAATTAAATGTGTTGAAATAACATTAAAGGGGCTAAATTTAAAAGAATGTTAATTATAAGTTTAATAATTGTATTCTCAAAAGGAACCATAATTATATCTAAAAATTTCAATTAAAATTTTTTCTAATATAGAAATTCGTTGGTAAATGTTTTGTTTTGTTGCCTAAATTTTTTTTAATCTTGAGTTTTATTGGCGAATGGGTGTTCGTGGATTTGACTATAGGAATGATATAAAAGTTGGAGATCCTGATATTATTAATCCTTTTCGGCTTGTTTTGCGGATTGATGCTATTGTTTAAAGGGAATAAAGAGACTCTTAGATATATTTTTCAAAACGGGAAAATTACAAGAACGTTATATAATGTAATGTTATTTATAACTTTTTCCCAACTCTCATTTGCATAATATTATACCCTAATTATATATTTGAAAAAAAAATATTTTAAACTTTTTGTTGTTTTAGGGACAAAATAGCACTCACTCATTACTATTTACAAATGAAAGAAAATGTACTGAAAGATTGTCAAATATGGGAAGAATCGAAATGCTATATATTAGCCGCCTACGCTCTCTTAAGCGATTGCCAGGAAAGTCAAAAACCAAATTTTACTCAATTCGATCCCTATAATTACCTACCCAAATGGGTAAGTATCCTTTTTAAAATTATCATTTCTTATAAATATTAGCTTTTTTTTCTTCCTTAGTTCTTAAACCAGGATCCTTTAAGATAACTGAATAATATTTTTTTACAATCAATGGCCTCAATGATAAGCGTGATACCGCTCAAGAGATGCGTTATTAATTGCCGAACAATAAATAGCATTAATCTCATGTGTAATTTACGTTTCTTTTGTGCGACATCGCGGTTTTCGCGTTTACTATAAACGATGTAGAGTAAATAAATAAAAAAAAATAAGATTTTTCTCACAACTAAATATATATATATAAAAGCATATTTTATTTTTAAAAGTGTCATGAAAATTATGCATAATTACTATCTAAATAAAAATAATTTTAAAAAACTCTTTCATTCAACTTTATTTTTCTAAGCACTAAAATTTTATTATTCTAAAAATTATTTTTTAAAAAAATATTTAACTTATAGCAAGTTAACCGGATAGTCAATCTGGAATATTACCTTGATGTTTGGAAATCCATTTTTAACCATTTACTGAAAAGAAAGAAAGAACAATTTAATTCTTAAGAAAAAAAAACCTTTTTCATTTCCTGAAAAAATAAATTATATAAATTCCATTCGGTTTGATTTATAATTGAGAGATTCTGATAACATTACCACATATAATAAAAGTAAAGAACCTTTGGACAATTTATTATAGCGGATATTAGAAAAAAAGAAATCAAATCGATCACTTTACAACCCGACCATCTCAGATTTTGTTAAAATTTGGTATTTAAGTTAATAAAGTATTGTAAGTGACGAATCCAAAATATTAGAGTCTTAACTCTATTAGAATTGGAGATATAGGGCTTCAAAGTGGGTCAACTTGGTCATTTTTCGAAAAAAATGATTTTTTAAAATTGAGATAACTTTTATATTAGATGCACTAAGTATATTTAGTATGGCTCATTTTATAGCCCTAAGTAAACTCTTGAACATATGATAAATAAAATTAATTTTTAGTTTAAATATTTTTTTTAAATTGCGGTTAAAAATTTGTAATTAATTTTTTAAAATGTTAGACTAAATTTTTTTTTCCAAATTTCAGTTATTTTGTAAAGAGTACCAAGAACTGTTCATATATAAAATTTCAGAGTGGGGCCAAAAAAAATAATTAGATAAAATCGCATTTTAAAAAAATCCGCTAGATGGCGCAAGAAATTTAAAATATCAATTTTAACATAAAAAGTCATTCTAATAAATTTTTTTTTATTCCATAATATAATATTTGTCGAATAATTAATAATAAGCGTATAATATAAATATTTAAAATAATTTTAATTTCTTTGAAATTAATTGAATTATCGATTTTTCGAAATATTTTTCCCAATAATTATATCTGTTACTTTTTTCCTAAAATTTATAATTTTTAAAATTAATTAATTTATTAATATTTTATTAAATATGTTTTGTACAAATCCATTGAATCTTCCAAATCACTATTCCGTGAAAGGTTTGCGTAAGGTGCCCCTATGGATGACAATGTATCATAAAATTAAGAAAGGAGAATATATTTGTCCTAAGTGTCGCAAATTATTTTATAAAAAGAAGAATAGTATTCCAATTTTAGAGGATAGCAATATCCCTTCAACTTCAAATAATTTCTTAAACTCCACCGATATAGAAAATGATTATCCGACGACAATGCGCAACTCCCTACACTTTTTTTAGAATCCTTAAATTCTACTTTAAATCAAATGGGGCATTCTCCAGTAAAAAAAAAAGAGATTAAGAGAAAAGGGATATCCCAAGAAAAAGCTCAGCAGAATTTCAAAAGCTATTGGGAAAATTCTACAACCAAAGATTAATAAAAATGATAGTGACGATTGGATAATTCATATGAAAAATAATTATCCATTATTGTCTAAAACCCCAAAATATCAATTATTAACAACATTACCTAAATTGGAGCATTCATAAAATTAAAAAACAATTTAATGCTTCGTTTTATATGATCCGTAATTCAAAATACATTCATAGTCAAAAGGGGATTCTTTCAACTCCTAATCCCAAGGCAGGTAAAACTATAGATCAAAACACAGTTGACGTAGTTAAAAATTTAAATGACGAATATTGTAGATTATTGCCCGGAAAAAAAGATTGCGTTTCTATAATTGAAAAAGATGAAAGGATTAACGTTCAAAAAAGGTTAATTCTTAATAATTTAAAAGAAATCTATATAAATTTCAAAACTATCTACCCTACTCTTAAAATCGGATTTTCAAAATTCGCCTCATTGCCCCCTAAAAATTGCATAATGCCAGGTTCAAGTGGCACTCACTCGGTTTGTGTCTGCCTAATCCATCAGAATGTTAAGTTGCTAATAATAGGTAGCAATTTAGCAACTTTGACAAAAAATAGGGATTTTGAGATAAAGACTTACAAAGACATAATTCCAAAAAGGATTTGCAATCCTCCACTGCCAGCCTGTTATTTTGGCGAATGTCATGAATGTCCTAGGGACCAAGCATTAAGGGCTAAATTAGAAAATTTATTTATTGCACATGATATATACAGGATAACGTTCAAGCAATTGATAACTGTAGATAGAACCAGTTTAGAGACCCTAACACAAACTGCTGACGAATTTCTTAATTACTTATTTGATAAAATATTTATTTTGATTCGCCATTCTTTTATTACTGAACAACAAAATAGATTCCATCAGAATCTTAAAAACAACTTAGAGTTAGATCATTATTTGGTTATCTGAGATTTTTCTGAAAATTACTCTTTTATACTTCAAGATGAAGTCCAAAGTTATCACTGGGCCACTTCTCAGGTTACCCTACATCCATTTGGTATATATTATAAAGTAAATAATGTATTAAATCATATAAGTTATGTGGCCATATCCGAGTCGCTGGTACATAACACTTGTTTATTTCATTTATTCCAAAAAAAAATGATAAATTTTCTAAAAAATTACTTTTTATCTGAGCCAAAATACATTTATTATTATTCCGATGGGTCCGCTGCGCAATATAAAAATAGGAAATATTTTATAAATTTGTGTTATCATCAAGTGGACTTCGCCATCCCAGCAGAGTGGCATTTTTTTCCTACTGCCCATGGGAAAAATGTTTGCGATGGAATAGGTGGGAACCGTTAAACGCTTGGCTGCGCGGGCCAGTTTACAACGTCCTTATGAAAATCAAATAAATACTCCCTTCGCTGAGGAAAATATTAAAAATATTTATTTTTCCTATACATCCCATAAAGAATACCAAGATGAGCAAGATTTTTAGAGGAACGATTATCAAGAGCTCTTTCAATATCTGGGACTCAAAAAATTCATGCAGTCTGTGTTAATTTATCACAAATAAATACAAAAAAATATTCTAGTGCTATTGAAGTCAAATTAGGAAAAATCCAAAATATAAAGCGAAATGTTAACTAAAGATATTAAAGGGTATGTTCTATGTTTATATGATAATAAATGGTGGTTATCATTTAAAGAAATTTTAATAAAATTATTTTAAATATTTATATTATACGCTTATTATTAATTATTCGATAAATATTATATTATGGAATAAAAAAAATTTCTTAGAATAACTTTTTATGTTAAAATTGATATTTTAAATTTCTTGCGCCATCTAGCGGATTTTTTTAAAATGCGATTTTATCTAATTATTTTTTTTGGCCCCACTCTGAAATTTTATATATGAACAGTTCTTGGTACTCTTTACAAAATATCTGAAATTTGTAAAAAAAAATTTAGTCTAACATTTTAAAAAATTAATTACAAATTTTTAACCGCAATTTAAAAAAAATATTTAAACTAAAAATTAATTTTATTTATCATACGTTCAAGAGTTTACTTAGGGCTATAAAATGAGCCATAATAAATATACATAGTGCATCTAATATAAAAGTTAACTCAATTTTAAAAAATCATTTTTTTCGAAAAATGACCAAGTTGACCCACTTTGAAGCCCTATATCTCCAATTTTGGATTCGTCACTTACAATACTTTATTAACTTTAATACCAAATTTTAACAAAATCTGAGATGGTCGGGTTGTAAAGTGATTGATTTGATATGGAATGACCCAGTATATATAGTTATGAGATTGAATCCCTAGATGCTCCATCATGGGGAATAAATCAGTTTTAGTCTAGTCCGCTATAAGTTGGATTGGGAGGGTGAAAAACACGGATCAATTCAGTTCTTAGTTAAAAACGTTGTAATTTTTGATAGAACTATAATGTCATTTAAAAAAATATATATATTAATTTTATTGCAACTTATTTATTTCAAATTATTCTAAAATATATTTCCTTAAATTATAAAACATTTTTTTAAATTTAGGCCATCAATAATTAAATCTATCATAGATAATTTGTTTTGGAAAAAAGGAAGCTTAGGGCTGTGTCCTGGCGTGTCTTTTTCCTTTTTAGAATTCGAATAGCCTTCTGAATGATGGCCTTAAAAAAAATTAAGAATAAATTCACTTTTGAGCTATATTTTAAAAGGGTATCATCTCTCACAAATAGGGTGTCCTAAATAGAATGCTCTGTTCAATCAAACCTAAAATAAAATTTTTTATGCACCATAAATGTAAAATTTTTATTTTATAATATAAAAGAAATACCATGATTATAATCTGACATCATTGAGCTGAAAACATGTAAAAGATTAATATATAATTATTTATTATTCATTGTTTTAAAACAATTTCTTATCAAATATATAAATAAACTTCTCATTTTTCACACTTGGTCCTTAAATACGCATCACTCTTGCACCTTTTTCGGATACTTCTGGCAAGCCCTACTTATTTAAAATTTCCATGCATATTGATATTTGTTTAATAAATCCTCAAAATAATTTTCTATTAAATTTTGAATGATTATTGCTAATTTTATGATCAAATCATTTATTATGTTTGATTAATGTAAAAATCATTTTTTTACATTTAATTTTTACCTTGCACTTTGAAAAATTTAATTAAATAATTATATCATAATCTCATTTTTAGCTTTCAAAGATTTTGCATGTATATTGACAATAGAGATTTGATTGCTCAAACTAATAAATTATCATCCAAGAGCATTTAAAATATTCGGTGTATGATTTTTATCTGGGGGAATTAGAAATGTTTTTTGAAATAACGTATCAAATAAAATAATTTAACTAATTTAATCCTCTAACAAATGATTTAAAATATTTAAAAACATAATTAATATCATTAGGTTTAAGGAAAGGGACCATTTAGCATCTCCTTTTGTTGGTTATTTTATTTTTTGATATTCTTTTTTCAAGCCCAGCCCATTCAATTTACGAGGTCGGTCTTGAGGGAAATGGAATTGGCATCCTACTATTGTACTATGAAATATATGCTTAATAGCAACTTTCATTGCTGATGATTATTTCCTTTGTAATATGCATGGCAACTATATAATTGTTAAATAATTTAGTGTATTCAAAGAAAGTACCATCCATTAATATGGATGACACTCAAAGAATTTTTAGCAAATCTAGTACCAAAAATTAGAATTTTTTTATTTTTTGTGTTGGGAAATTTCCCATGGAATTTTATATCCATGTTATTTTTTATATTATAGGTCTGAATTTTCTCATCATATTTAATAATACACTTATAAATGCCACGAAAAAACATGCAAGATAGGATCTATCATAAACCATGTTAATAAATCTAAACCAAAGAAAAAGAAAACACATTTTCACGAAAATAACCTCCAATAATACCATGAATTAGAAACAAGAGAGGAAAGCAAAATGACTTTTATTGATGATTCAACCAAACCAAGAATTTCAACATACGATGAAAATATTAAGGAAAAAATTATTAGAGAATCATCTAAAGCTCTGAAGCAATATACAAAATCTATTTCACCTTTTTCAGAAATTAGAAGGACATGATGAGATAATTTTAGACCCATAATAAAATAATACAGATATAGAATTATCTGGGAATTTTTCCAAATGAGAAATGGCAATGATTATTTTTAAGTCAAATAATGATAATAAAATACTCATTTTAGGCACATTTGAATTACTAAAAAAAATATGGAAAAGTGTCATCCATATACATAGATTGCAATTTCTTTTCCCAAATTTATTTAGTTATATATTTGTAATATACAAAGGAAACACGTTGGTAATTCTATATGCATTATTACCTGACAAAAATAACTAATACATATATTGAATTTTTGCAATTGTTAAAGTAATCTTGTGAAGAGAATAATATAATTTTGAATTAAAAATATGCACAATTAGATTTTGATTTAGCAATGAAAGATGATATTAAGCTTATTTCCTGGCACCATAGTCAAAGGGTTCCAAATCTCTCTCAAGACCTGGAGATATTGTTCTTTGGCTAGTTCAAAATATACTACATTTGGAAATTATGAAATCCATACTGATAATTTCTTCTTCCCAATGCCATTATCCCAAATTAAAAGAGGGTATACATATGACTGGTACCATTCGATCAAACCGTCTAAATGGCTGTTGTTGAAAAGCGACCGTAACCTCAAGAAACAGAGGATTTTATTATAAAACTGCCACTAATACTAATATAATCATTGTCATCAAATATGTTCACTTAATATCATCATATGGTTCTTGAGGGGATAAAAATTTTATCAAGGTCTCAAGTATATTTAAAAAAATTAATAAAGGAATGACAAGCGTTGGATTGCATGATCTGCTCGTGGAATGTTATAGAGTAAATATAAACGGTAGATTAAAAAAATGTTTATAAAACTTATAAATTATAAATCGCATATGGCGACAGCATTTTTATTAACAGGTAAGGTTAATAAAAGAAAAATAGTGAGGTCATCAAATGAAACTTTTATAGAAAATAATATCTGAGTTACCTCTGATAATATCAGACATTAGATATTATGTCATTGGTTAGAAGCTTTCAATACTTGAAAAAGTTATATTGATTCATAAAACGAGATATTTATTTATGTTTTAATCGGGAGAGAAATTTTTTAAAATATTTTATAATGAATATTATATATTTTTTTTATACATACATTAGCTCAATTATAGTGTTGTTAAATGGCTCCTTTTGAGCCGATTTTTATAAACGGTCTCAATATTTTAGCTAAAAAAAAATATCGCCTAAGGCTTGAGATTTCGCTAATAAATGTCTAGACCTTTGTGCCATCTATGAGAAAAAATCCTTAGACTTGAGTAAAATATAGAGTTAGCCGTATAAAAATCGGCTCAAATCTAGCCGTTTAACATCACTACTCAATGATATCAAATTAATCATAGTTTTTTTTTACCCATAAATTATGAAATAAAAATCGAAATAAATTTTAAATTTATGATTTACAAAGATATTTTTAAAAAGGTTAAATTCAATATATAAGATAATGAACCAGTAATATAGAAGGAATTAAAACCCAGAAATGGCGAAAAATTAAAATACAATAAATTATACGAAAAGCATATGTTAACCTTATAAACGATTGAATTATATATTTACATTATATGTCAAATTAAATCATTTGGCGTTCTAATGGTTATAAAATAACATGCAATTTGATGATATAAATTTATCATAAGACTTTAAAGGGTTAAGAAATTGCATTAAATTTTTTTTTCCTAGTTTGAACATTTTAACAATTGACTCAAATTAGACAGGTTATAGTTAAAAAATTGAATGATGTTCAGAGCAAGAAATTCGACATTTTGATCCTTCCCAAAAAAGATATCTTGATTATCTTTTGGCTTAACACTGTTATTTTTTAATAAGGCGCCATCCAGGCCGACCCATTAAAATTTTTGCTCATTTATCAAAAATCAGTATTAAGGTCATACACAGATCCTTAAAAATAATTTCAGTGGATATAAGGATACGCAGATCATTGGGGGCTATTTTGCAGAAATTTTTTCGATAGTATATTAAAATTTTTACTAATTATTCAAATTATTTTGCTAATGGCGGTACTAGAGAAGGAGTATTTTTTTAAAAAATAATTTAGGCATTACAATTTTACTACCAATTATTTGTATAATAATTATATTATTTAGAAACGGATAAAGTTTTTATTATGGGAATATTTTAATCGCCCATAGGCAGCGATTTTTATGTAAGTTTTTAATAGTTTATTTCGTTTTTTTCAGGTGGTCAAATTGAGGGGTCTCACATTCCCTTCTCAGCATTTGCCTTCCATCCTCGCTCAACTCTCGTCATCGGAACCGCTACAAAATAGTACGGCCCTGTCTAATTTTATAATTATGGCCTCGGGCTCTGGGTCACGTGATAGGCACGATTTACATTACTACAAACTATTCAAGAAGTCTAGTAGACGCCAAATTGCGGAAAAGATTGATAAGATTGACGACAACAAAAGGAGGGAACCGGGAGAGAGGGGCGCAGACTCCAATGTTGTTTGGTTGGGCGTTTCATCCTTAGGCATTCATTTTTACGAGGTTGAGAAAAAAATACGTCTCTTTCGGTGTAGTTATTAAGCCCTAGGCATAAACCTTAGGGCTGGCTCAAGCTATTCGAAATAAACCTGATTATGCCTGTCAACACAAACATAAAGCGTAGGTTAAGGTGTAGCAGAAGTGATTAACACTCCGTTGTTTAAATTGAAATTTTTTTTAAATCTTAAAAAGATAATATTCAAAAATAAATAAAACTATTTCGCGTTAAATGTTTACCAATTTGTACGTTCCCATTTTAAAAGAAAAATTTGAAACTTTTTCTCTTTATTTAAAATTTACAATAAAACGAAAAGCTTCAATTTATAAACACTATTAAGCCTAAAAATTACATTAAATTCATAGCTATTGCCAAATATTATTTCACTTAGTGAGCCAGACCTCGGGTATTCTTAATATTTAAAATATATAGATCAATCATAATAAATTTATGTATAAATTGTTTCGCCCATAGTTGGAGTTAAATTATTTTATAAAACCATTTTTGTAGGATAATGGTTCACTTCCACGAATACTTTTATCGACATTCAAATGGGGGGATATTGACAAGTTATCTTTTGATGTAAATATCCGTTATTTTTTTTATTATATTTTAACTTTAGAAAGACCTTTTTTTAATATTTTTTTTGTATTGTGGATATTTTTAATAGGAGTCACATATTTCATACGTTTTAGGGATATAATATAAATTAAAGTATCTAAAATTTTCAACACTAATTATATAACTTGTCCATTGAAATTTATAATTTTTATAATATTTAAATCAGTAGCGTTGTTAGATGATCAGAGAGCAACAAATCTCTCCTATCCATAAATTTTTGGAAAATGTAAATTTCTTTTTTTGATAATTTAAAAAATATATTAAAATTTAGACCCATTTTCCTCTCCAAATTAAAAAATATACCAATATTTATTTTAAATAACCAAACAGTTATAATTATTTTAATATATTCAAAATATTTTATATTCTTAATCATATAATAATACTAAATGGGAAATAGTATGTTAGGTGAAACACACTTAAATTTAATGAAGTAAAATTTAATATTTGTTAAGTTCAAGAATCCCTCCAGTATCTCCTTTCTCGTTCCATTTTCCATAAGACAGTTCCAAGAACATTCCAATTATTGCGTTTCTAAAAATTAGATTTTTTTAAATCAAAATAAAAAACTCGCTCAATAAATGTTAAAGTTGAAATAACGCATTTATTTTAAACATATTTTTGATAATATGGCTAATAATAATAATATAAATATTTTTCACAACATAATACAATTATTTCTATAAGATTTAATTTTCTTAACATATTTATTTTTTATTGTCAAAAATTTTATAGAAAGATAAATTTGAAATCAAGCACATCGACAATTTCAAGAAATTCTCTTATTACACTGGGAACGATGAAAGATCAAAATATTTGCTCGATTTATGCAAGTCCACCCACATATTCAACCTTTCTATCAAAAAATTGACCAAGACGCTCTCGGCATTAGAAATAAATAAAAAATGTAAAACAACTTTATACTTCTCTTTCTTTTTTGCAAATATTGTTCTAAAATATAATTGACGTTCTACCACAATATCTTTGATTATGGTTGTTAATATCTCATGTTTGGTCATAAGAATTTTAAATTATCGAAGATATATGGGGGTTTAGACACATGCGATCACAGCTAGTGTTCATTTACGCCAGAAGAATTTTATTAAAATTTATAAGGATGAGTATAGATATTTGTCTGATATTTATGATATCTTTACATTCATATGTCATTTTTTTAGGGTGGATATCCTTTATAAAATTACTTTTAAAAATGCAATAAAATAATGATTTTTAGAAAACCCATTTTTTAAAAAATAATTTGGCATTGCACATATTTATTTTTACTACATTTAAAATTTTTGATTAATTAAATTTTCTTTTTTTCTATAATGTCGGATAAAATTGTTATATAAAAGGCGCGAACTATAACAATCACGTCAGACCCGCGACTCCACTCTTAAACGGTAAAATCGGTAACCTTAATCACATCAAACATATTTTATCAAACCACTCAAACGCCGTCAAAAGTTCCCCGCCGCAAAATAAATCTCATCTAAATTCACCTGCTACGAATAACGACTATCAAAATGGCGCAGCAAAAATAAACGAATTGTCTCCCATAAACTCGCTCAAAAGTGAAGCCCACTTTTTAGTCCTTGATTCGCCGCACGATTCGCAAAAGTCTGATAATATGATAACTATCACTAAACGTAGTGAAAAGTCTGACGCATTTAAACTCGAAGACATCGATGAAATAGAAAATTTCGAGAAAAGCGAAACCAGCAATTCCTCTTTCGTATGTATATATAAAACATTAATATTTTTTTACCCCTTTCTATTTGCCTTGAATCAAGGTCTCTTTTTGTTTGTAGAGTTTTAAGACAATTACTTATAATATTTGTATTTATACTAATGAACTATTCCAGAGTTGTTAACGCTCCTTTTTAAAGGTAGCTAGCTCCCGCTCCTACCTTCTCAAAAGGAGCTAGCTCCCGCTCCCGCTACTACATTTTTAAAAGGAGCTAGCTCCCGCTCCAAGTAATGGAGTGCCACTCCATAACCGCTTCTTTGATTTTCATTTTTTTAGAGGGTATACGGAATAAAATCTTATTTTTTTTATCAAAAAGCTTTATTTATATTAAATTATCTATCAAAATATTTATAACCTTTTATTAGCTTTTAAAAGTAATAAATTTTAAATTAGAATCTATCAAACATCCACGCCTCTCCCCTAAGACCTGTTTTGTAATACTAAATAGGCACTACACAGGAGCACTAAAGGGAAGCAGGGTATTGTATTTTATAAAGATATTTTTTAATTCAGGGAATTTATCAAAAATAGTAATTTTGGTATCATTATTTAAAAAATATTTGTCCATATTATCTTCCTGATGATCAATTTCATGGAATCCAAAAAAATCTTCCAAATTAAGTATTTTAAAAAAAAAATTAATAACTTTTAGATGCTTTTTTAGATTGAAGCTGCTCACTTTTGAAAATTAAATAGTTTTATTTAAACACAAAAGACATATTGCCCGTAATTTGTTTGATCATTTGGATCAACATCTTTTAGAAGTTTAAAATATTTTTTGTATGATGGAAATGGAAATTCGATTTCTTCATCTATGATATCTAAATCCATAATATCTAAAACTATTTTTTATTATATATCTATAAAACGAATATTAATATGACTTACAAGATTTTCCAAAAAATTCAATATAAAAAGGAAAACTTGATGTTTAATATTTAAAATGATTAGATGAAAAACCAATATAAAACTGGGCTAAACATTTAATAATGGATAAATTTAAATTAAATAAAATTTCATTTTTATTGAATTTTAATTAATAAATATTATTAATATTTAAAAAATAATTTAATTTATACATTAAATTTAAAGGAGCGGTGGAGCGGCGCTCCTCCACTCCAGCCCTAAAAGGAGCTAGCTCCTGCTCCCCAATTTTAAAATGTTTTTGAAAAAATGTAGCCTGAACTATTCATTTAAAAGCATGAAGCGTCGTTGACAAAAATCATCTGGTGTCTGAAATTTTCTATAAGTGTAAAATAGCAATTTATAAATAAATTATACGGGAAAATCAAAATTACGTGCACAGCTGTTTTGTATTTATAACATTTAAATGAATGAACCAATCAGTATAAGTTTTATTATACGTCATTGTTTTATAAAGCCCTGTCAAATTCAAATTTTTGAGCTCGGTCCAGCTCGAAATTTTTATCCCTATTCAAAGTTCAATTAGAAAATTTTTACAATAATTTGGGGTATTCTGCTCGCTCTTAAGGCTTTTGACAAGAATGCGCTCTACATTGAGTCACTAGTTGGATTTTTTTCCTGCTTCCCTCAATATATATAATATTTTTTAAAACAAATACCTCAAGATTATAGTGCCATTTTTGGCTAAAAATAATCGAACCCGGCCCGATTTTTTAAGAAAAATTATCTAATCCAGGGGGAATTTTTAGGATTTAATTTTAGATTACGAATCAACCTTTTAAAGGTTATTTAAGAGAGAGCGTCATATTTATAAAGAATATCTTATTTATATATCTTTCATAAATATTACAATAGATTAGCGCGAGCGATAATGAGGCCGAAATTATTAAAACGAATAAATCCGACACATTTTTTCAAAATATCTGTTCTAAACATATCAATGACAATCTCGGAAAAACTATTGATGACGATAGCATAGTAGAAACGGTTAAATTAAATACCGAAACAATAAATCATACAAAATCCTCTCTAATAAATTTTAATAATGACACCTCACAAATATCCATTGCTCCTCTTACATGTTCTCCACTATTATCAAGTACGTATTGTAAGCCAGGCTTGAAAATCGTACTAATTAATTATTTATATAAACTAGAAACTCCTTATTTTGAAATCGAAGTTTAAATAAAGGTGTAAAAAAAATCGAACAGTAGTTTATTAGTATTATCTACAAATAATATTCTAATAATTTTTTTAATATGTCTATATAGTTACTTAATGTTGCATCGCATAAGAAATTATTTACATTGTTGTTGCATTTTGCACTTCTGATCTGATTTAAATGAGTTCATATCAGAATATTATCATTAAGGCCGTGTCATGGTTTCGTCCTATTTTTGAAACTTGGCTAAACAGATTTTGAATTAAGTCACCCTATTTTGATTTGTTTTCTTGTTTACAATAAATAAATATTATTTATTTATATATATTTTCGGTACAAATAACTGATCTCTTATCGGAATCTAAATAGCCTCCTTCTTTCTAGGCGGTTTAGAGGAAGCTATTTAGTCGTCTAAACAGACGACTGCTAAGAAGTAAGGCGGACCAAAACACAGCATAGGGATTTATTTTTTATATAATAAATTCAAGATTGCTTTTTTCTTCTTAAATATTATAATTCCACCTGGAATGCATGTTTTTTCCTTTTAATTGGACTCGCTTATAAAAATAACATTAAAATAAATATTTTATACAATTTTAATAATAAGTCCATAAATAACCAGCTAATAATCCTGCGTTTGTCATTTCGATTTCGTCTCCGGAATCTTATTTGCAAGGTCGCTCAGTTTAAAATTTTTACCATAAATATCTAATACTTTAGTTTGTAAGCGGTCATATCACTCAAGTATTTTATAAGCTATGATAAATTTTTGATTTTATCATAAAATTTATTTACCCCCAAAATACATCTATTCTTTTATTGTAAATATTTCATATCTTAAAAAATTTACCCTAAAATTTTGCCAATCAATCATTATAAGACAGCTGATTAAGATTTTAAAAAGTATTTAACCCCATTTAATTTATATTGAATTTATACATGTCAATCATAGATGCGCATTCTCAGTCAATAAACATTCCTTTAAATACACCCATACCACCGTCAGACGCAAAAAAGGAGGCTCCAGCAATACATTACCATCATGCTCAAGGCTTGCACAATAAATACGTCAAAACCCCAACGCCTTACAATAACAGCCCTTATTTAAATTTCAGTAATACAAAAAATTCTCATTCATTACATTCCAATTATGATTCAAAATCTGCACAATTTTCTAACGACTCCAAAAAGCAATTTGATCATATTACCATGACCAACGATGCTAAAAACGACGTAGCTCCCCTATTCGCCATGTACACCAAAAAATTAGCGGAAATTAATGATCAATCACCACAATTTCATTCCCAATATCTCTGTAATACGTCGAACGAAAACCGCCGCATTAAGCAAAAGCCTCCTCCTCCATCTTACACTGAGGCCATTATGTATAAAAAAGGCTTGATCAGCGAACAAACAGTCTTAAACGAGATGGGTTTGAAAAATGGGGATAGCGGCTTTGAGTTTGAAATAGACAGGGAAAAAAATCCCCACCACACCATGATTATCAACGATGCTAAGAATAGGCTTAAAGAAATGAATAATCTTGTAGATGTGAGGATGATGAATGGTGGTGTATTATTTTCGGATGAGAAGGATACCAAAAAAGATACTGCTGATAGGGTGGTGGTTAAACATAGCAATCCAGCATCGTGTAGTAGAATCAAATCTTTTTCGAGCCATCACAATACTAATTCCACGGTATTTACATACCTATCTCTTAAAATATTTTAATAATCGCTTATTTACTGAAAGATTATAATTTTTTGAAAAATATTGTTCTTTATATTTTATTTACAAAATATCACACTCATTTTATAATAGAAAACTTATTTTGCATAGCATGTTAGACAGTTTAACATAACATTATTTATATGAAGAGAATAAAAACCTTAAATATGAAGGCGCTGTCTAATTGACTCCAATTATAAAACTGCTATATCATAGGGAGTCTTGTGAAACTGTGCCGAATATTTATAACAATATCTATCCACGATAATTATTTTAAAATTGGATTTCATACCAGGCTATCTGTATAACTGTTAAAAATTTTATCCTTTAAATTAAAAAAAGAAATATTTTTTACATCAATCAGAGTATTTTAAAATCTTCTTACGAGTATATAGGGTGATTATTTTATCGATAAAGGTCCAAATAGAACATAGAGATTACACATTTTTTTTCAAATTCTTTGTAACTTTATCAAAAATTCGGGATAAGGTCTAAATCGTTAAAACAATAATTGCTAAAAATTGGGAATCTCGCTATATCTTAGAAAATTTTTAAAATTGATTTGAAATTAATATTAAATGCTAGGGAAGTAAACATTTGTATTTAAATTGAGTTTATCGCTGAGGAAATCGATTATATTTACCCCATTTTAAACGATTTTATTTTTTTAAAAAAAAGCTCAATTTAAATGCAAGTGTTTACTTCCCTAGCATCTATTAATTTTAATTTCAAATTTACTTTAATAACTTTTTAGGAGATATAAGCGAAATTCCCAATTTTGCGATTTAGAAAGAGAAAAATATCAGTGATATCTTATAAAGTATCATTAAAAAAATCAAATATTTCTTGAATATTGTTTAATAAAAATCATTTAAATGTCTGAAATTTTAAGTAATAATATTTTAAAAATTATGTGGTCCGTTTACCTTGCCTTTGTAGGCTTAAATTTGATAACTATAAAAATATTTCATTAAAACGAATAATATTTTTTTAATATTTTAATAAAGAATATAATGACCTTGAATTTATAAAAAAAAAAATTTGATATACAAAATAAAAGGTCATATATTGGTTTAAAAATAATGGTTTTTTTGTAAACATGTTATAATGCTATGGCTTTACCTTAATGTTAAATAGCATTGATTGACATCACTCATTGCGAGTGTTGTCAAAAACCTCTATTTATTTGATTTTATTTAATTAAAAGATGCTTAAATCAAAATTTTCGCAAAAATAATATTGAACTACTCCTTGAGATTTAACCAAAAAAAAATAGGAGACAGAAAGGTTTGGCTTTATTTTGGAAAATTGCATGATTTTGAAGATTGGATTTGGAAACCATATATTATTTATTTATTTTTTTTAAAAAAAGGCTTTTGCCATGACAAAATGGTACTCGTCTACCGATATAAATCACGAGGAAGATATCGAAATTCTACTCAATGAAATAAAATGTTTGAGAGAATTACCGCCACTTATGAAGGCCCTTTTTAAAGAAAAATCTCTTTTTTAACAATTTCGCGTCTTATTATGATTGTTTTTTTTTAATAATAAAAAAACGGAAAATATTGTGATACTATTTTTTTAATACCTTATATAACCTATTTATAAATATTATATATTTTAATTTACAGACTTTATATTTATTAATTTGTATATATTATTTGGTAAATCTCAAAATCACTTTTTAATTTTTTTTAAAGAAAAAAATATGAGACCAAAAGTTTACTTTTTTTTTTGTAAACAGGTCCATTTAAGTAAGATAAAAATTTTATTAGTTTTTATAATAAATTATTTATTAGTTTTATAATAAATTATTTATTAAAGAATATATTTTTCTTCTAAACTATCACTCCAATTTTCGGGATGTTAAGATTGCTTACTTGTTTTTTAAAAAAATTTTATTTTATCATTTAGAAAATTGTAAAAAATCATCTTTTTAATTTTCGAGATACTTAAATTTAAAAGGGTCGATCGTGTTTTAATGATTTCTTTATTTTGGTAAGCAAATAATCTATTAAGATGCATATGTCCATCACATTGGAAATAGGGTGGAATGGAATATAGTATTATAAACTAGGGCTCTATAAATTGAATCGGATGATAAAATGTCCATATTCGAAGTATACAACAAAAGAATATTTTATCGCATATAATCGTTGCCTAATATAAAATTAAAAAATAGCTATTATTAAGATAGACTTTTAGAAAGCTATTTTATTCAGGCATTTCGTAATTGTTTTTTCTTTTAGAGACATGCCATTTTTAATAATCATATTTATGTTTCAAAATGGATACTCACAAGATGTAGAAGAACCCTATTATTTTATCTATTGATTGAACAATTTTATAATTTAGTTTTAGCACATTTTTAACCAGAGTATCACACACAATATAAAAATAATCGATACTGCAATCGCCAGAAAAATTATTTGATTAGTATTGGTTCAATTTAGAAAAGAAATTAATTATGAATATCTCTCATTTCTATTACGAATAATTTAAATTTTTAGTATTTGTAAATTATGAATCTAATAAACGATAACTGTTTGCCCAATCATATTTAATTCTTTATAAGTAAGAGTAAAGTATAATGTTAACCTTATAAACAATATAAATCGATTGAAGCAAAAATGTTTATAAAAAAGATTTATAATAATTCCTTTAACTTTTATTAAAGCACCATGATTTATATTATCAAAAAATAATCCATGTAAAAATTCAATGTTTGGTCCCATAGCTTTAGAATATAGTTGTAATCATCCCAGACAGGTCCAAACATATATTTATTCGTGCCTAGTTGCCTGTAAAAATTCTCTTCGCTATTCGGGAACCTCGTAGATATGTCTTGATCATTTTCTGTAGGAAAAGGTTCGAATGTAAAACGGGAATTCAGTCTTTTTAGCGATAACTTGGAGTAGGCCATCAGGGATCCCGTTACATGTACATCGTCGACCCAAAAATACTTGAGATTTGGCGCGTTGAACATTAATTTGTAGGCAGCATTAGTTGGAAGCAACACCCCCCAGCCCGAACAATATGGCGGGAAAGTACTATTGGCAAAATCATTCTCACTCACATACCATTTGGAAGACTTATCACGTAGAACCGACATTCCGATCCATACATTGCATAACAACATATTGGCGAAAGGGTTTGTATCTAGGGTTTCATAAGCCGCCTCTAAACCCTTGCATGTCGATTGCGCGAATGTGTTATTTATTAAGGTGACTTTAACATCATGAAGATTTTTATCAACAGAAAGAGTTTGTTTTGGATTGGTGAAAGAAGTTAGTAAATCACTGACCCATTCTTTATCTTCTTTTTGTACACCATTGATCATATCTGTTTTTGTTACAGTTGTGTTCGGTGACAATGAATTTAAGAATAGCTTATTCATTAAATGATTAATATCGTCAACATCGAGCGGTGTCGTTTTTAGGTATTTTTCATAATCGTCATAAACGTTTTTTAAATACGTTGCTTTATTAATCAACACATAAAGTTTGAATATATCTATATAAATATCGTCGTCCATCTTTAAAATGTAATCAGCCTTGGGGCATCTACTCACTATCCACTTAAACCCCATAATCATCTTGTAAGTCAAATTTTGGTAAGAGTCGAGAAAATTACCTTGAACAATATCTCTATATTTGCGCGCTTCTATTTTAAGCCTTTTTTGTGTAAAACTGGTTGATTGTTGATATATACTGAAGTTAAATCGAGGTTCCGTAGTTCTTGAGGTACGGGTTATGGTACTAGAATTATGCGACACTGAAAAAGGTTTTAGGGATGTCATTCTCATGTTAAACAACCTTTCTTCATCTTTGACTTCCATAGCATTTAAAGCTGTTAGAAAAACTAGCCTTATATTCATTTCTTCAAATTCCACTTCCCCCCTCAAAGCCTTATATATCGAATCCATTAAGCGTCCTTTATATTCACCATTTGCTAGATAAGTCGATGATTTCGCAGGTTCTTTATTTTTCTTTTTTTTAATATAATTTATGGATCCCCACGATTTCCGAATAGACATACGATTTTCAAAATTAGTAGGAGCCGTATGAATTAGTACGATTAGATTTATAGGTTTCGCTTCCTTTTTAGTTTTAGATCGAACTGATTGAGAATTTTCGCTATTATCATAGGTGCTCGAATCTATGGCGGCATTAAAATTTGGAGAATTCTGTCTCTCATTAGAAAGGGAAGTAATCTTTTTTGTTAAAGGAATATTTGATGAGAAATTATGCGAATCTTTGATCTCCACACTATCAGATGCCCGAATCGCATTTGATACAGGTGTATCGATATTATATCGAGGATAATTAAAATAATCCAAATTTTCCTTGTCTTCGCACTCGGGATAATGTATGTCAATTTTATATTCGAAATTGGGCAAATCGATGACTGGAAATTTTCTGGCTATCATTTTGTAAAAAATTTCGCGATGTTCACGAGAATTGTTTCGGAAATGACGCCATAAAAAATTGCTGGCATATTGAGCATTTAAACTGATGTAGGGATTAGAATTTAAAATACGAGATTGATATTGGGAGCTTGTTAAACGAATACATTGGCTAATCAGCTGTGATGATAGGACTTGATTTAAAATGTCGTGAGATTCCATCCATGTTAAACCTCCAGTGTCGTCGAATAATTTTGGCGTTTTATACCTCGAGCCTTTAGATGAGCCATTACTTTTTTTACGATCGTAAACAATGTTTTTCCTAAAATCGAAAGCGCTCTTAACTTGATTCCATATATTTTTTTTGTAGAATCTTGGATCGGAAGCTAAGGAATTTGTGCTGGAATCAGATCCTATATTCCAATTCGAATCGTACATCAGGAAAAGAAAAGTTAACCCTATTAGTGCGCAGCAGGCTATAAATCTATTTTTCTTTTCCTTCAAGAACGCGAAGAAAAATTTGTAATTATATACCATGATTTACTATCACCGGACATTCATTCCCATTTTACTTTAAAATAATGATTAGATCTCAAATATTTGAGCCATAGTCGTAAATATTCCTATCATCGTCTTGTCTTTTTTTAAATAAAATAATTTATAACGGCTTTAAGATAATATAAAATCTATAAATTTATTTTGGTCGCAAAAACTAGTTAGACTTTTTTTTTTAAATAACAAGACATTTAAATTTTATGGTCTTGAAAAATTTTAAGTTTATTTTTTTTTTAAAAAAATGACAAAATTTATTGGCCAATATTAGTTTTTTTTCAAATAAAATAAACAATTATTATGAAAAGTTTATTTTGACCACAATAGTTACCGCAAAATAGGATAAATATTTTTAAAAAATATTATTTCTTCACGCATCTAATTCATTGGTTGGTTGATTTATTTTTGTGGGATCCGCTGAATAGACTTAGAAGAATTTATCGTTTTTTTAAAGTAAATAACCTTGATAATTGAAATATGAAAATATGAAATTATCAACTTAACTTATTTGCCTAGTATTAAAATGTCCCTTTATTTTTGCTATAAAATAATTGGTAATAATTTTAATGTTTTATTGATTTTAAAAATAAAATATAATATAAAAAAGCAAGATATAAAACAATTTCTAAATGTCCGAATTATTCTATGTATTTTTAAGTCAGATTTTTTAATCCTTTTTATTAAAAAAATGGTAGGTTTTAAAGTGGGAAAGGAATTGAATTATATATAAAAACTCCGGTGATTTTATGAGACGGAACGTTATTTTATATAGGAGAATTTTTAAAAAAAAATTTCAATTATTTTAAGATTAACTTATTTTTAAATAGCATTATTTTATTTTACTCTGAACTGACACATTTTTTGTAATATTTTCGCGTCATATATTTAAAAATTTTTTTTTTATATATCAGTAAGCTTTTTACTTTAGTTTAAGTTCATAATTCTTTTTTATTATAATATAATACATAATATGATATTTAATTAATTTCCTCAATCAATTGTATTAAAAAAATAATAAAATTATTAACTAAAAAATTAATGTTTAAACCATAAGTTCTACCTACAACAAAGCATTTCATGTGATTTAGAGGCCTAAAAGAATGTTTCAGCTTCCGCTATTAGCAACTTTGGTGTATTAGTTAGAGATAAATGAAATTAAAAAACAAATTTTTTTATTTCTTCAGATTAAGTCAGGCAGAAATTTATATTGCAAAACATTTTTGTTTTTTAAAAAAAAAACTTGTATAAATAATTTGATTTTTAAAAAAATTAAAATTTTTCACCTAACAGTTAACATTTGTTTTATTTTAAAAATATTAATAAAACAATACACCATAGGTAAATAATCAAGAATTAAAGATTTTTTTTAAGGATTAACACAATTTTTTTTCCTCTCGCTTTCTAGAGGATTGATTTACAATGGAATATATAAAAAACATAAAACCATTTTTCTTCTCAACAATTAGGAAGGAATGGTATTTTATTTATAATATCTTAAAGAATTTGTAATCCTTTAATTGTGATATTTTTTTAAATGACGGATAATATTATTAAATTTCAATCCTCCATCCATCAAATATAATTTTAAAAATACTAAGGCTACTTTAGAGATATATATATATAGTAAATCCCTCCTTATCTTCCTAGGACTCTGCAATTTGGTTCGAAGTCCGTTAGGCGGTCGCTATTCTTAAAAATGATAAATATTTTAGGCTTGGGTAAAAGAAAATGAAATTCGCATACTATTCCCCAAAAAAAGAGAGAAATGTATTCCGTTAGAAATGGCTACAATTCTTTTTTGATATAACTCATTCTTGATAAATAATTTGTTACCTTCGTTCAAACTGTGAATTTTCATTTGAACCTTACCAAACATCTTTAGAGAAATAAAGGTAATAATTGATTCGTTTCTAAAAACTAATATTTTTTATTTAAAAAAAAATGTGAGAATATAAAAAATCTGTATTTTTCTTTTATTAAATATATTTTATTGATTAAAAAAATATTTATTTGTTCATTTTATCATATAAAAAACAAAAATAACATAAAATATTGTATACAAATAGGCACTTGTTCAAATAAAATTATTTCTAAAATTAGTTTTTGTGCTTCATCAAATTAGTTAAGAATTTACTACTAATTAATTAGTTTGTTCCATGCGCTTTTTAAACGAAAATAGGGGGTAAGGAGTAGAGTGTCCAATTTTTAATGTCGCTTAAAATGTCCCCATAATAAATTTTGTGCCTTAACATCATTGAAATGAACTCACTCAAATTAATTCATTTAGAAGAACATGATTCCGAAATTTATTTCTCGAAAAATTCGTTACTACAATTTGAAAACGTACGTTAAAACAACGAAAATCGTGACCAATTTAGTGAACCTAGGACAAGATATAAAAAAATAAAAATTAACATTTTGTTCCAGACTTATTTATAATCACTTAATAATTTTTTATCTGGAATCTACTCCTTTCCGACGGTGACGTCTTGATATCTGCCACCCCTTCAACTTTAATAATAATTCCAAGGTTCTACCGCCCCCACCCCTCAAATTAGAAGTCTCTAATACGAGCCCTAAAAGGCATACGAAAATCAAATAAAAAATTACTTGATAATTCTAAATAAATAATAACCCATTTTGTTCCCTACAAGATATAAAAAATAATTATAATTTTAGAGGGGCCTACGCAAAGGTGGGGGAAGGAAGGGGGGTAATCAAATATTTTTTTATAATTATCCTAGGTGTTATTTAAGAATATGTTGCAGAAATTTATTAGTTATTCAGAGTGACTATAAGATATTTACAATTTCTAACACAAATTCAAATATGAATGAATGATAAAAATTATATATAATCGACGTATGAGTTACTATAAAATAAATGTCGCTAGAAATAGCTTTATAAAAAAAAAAATTTTTAAAGCATTAAAATTGATATATAAATTTAAATTTACTTTTTAAAAAAATGTTGGAAATAAAGATTAACGCAGAAAAATATTCTTAAGATTTATCGCATGTCCTTAAAAAGTATTAATGAAAAAAAATAAAGTAAATGGTAAAAAATATAATTTAAGAAACATATTATTATAAATTTATAATATTAAATTTGTCCATTCCCTTTAATATATATTGAGAATAACTTACCCATTCACTCCATTTTCAGAGGGATTTGAACAGATTTTTAAAAACGGCGAGCCCAATATTTTTCCAGAAAAAATATTATGCGAACCTGAAAATTTTGCTGAGATGGCTCAAAGGCTTGAACATTTATTAGCAAAATCTCAAGGCAGGCAATAATTTCTGGGTAAAATATTGAGTCCGCCGTTTTTAAAAATCAGCTCAAATCGAAATACTTAACATACTACTTCTCGCGGTTTTTATTCTTGTTAAAGAATAAAATGCTCTTTAATTGGTAAAAAAAAATCTAATGGCTAGATTTGCTCAAATTTATCATAATTTTAATGTTAGGAAAATAGTCTAAAATGTATTTGAAATTTTGCAAAGCATCTATACCATTTTTTGGAACATTTTTAACAATATTTAATCTTTAATACCATGGTTTGCATTCAGCTAGTAATGCATCTTGGAATAATTTAACATCCTCACAAAGGATTTCTGCCAAATATCTAATTTTTATCTTTATCTAGATTCGATATAGATTCCAAAAGATTCTACGTAATAATATTTCTAGATTTGTAAGTGATGCATGATTAATTAAGAACCCTTCATTCATTTGAGATATAAAATTATCCTAGAGGGAATAAAGAGATTATAGTATTCTTTGACTGACCCTATATTAATATTAAAACGATGGGTTTGCCGCTCCAAGTCGAGATAGACAAATATTAGATTCATAGCGCTCTGATTTTGACTCAACGACACCCTAATTTCCTTAATTTCTAATATAATGCTTTCAGCTATTCTCATATCCTCAATCCAATCGATGGCATTTTTTAAAAAATATTTCATATTAGTTTTGCAATGAAAAATTTTCTGATGATTTGGTGTGGAAGAAATGGTAGACAAATATAACGCCAAGGAATTTGAAATCGATATCAATTCATGGAATAAATTAGCCTGAATGTGATAAATATAAATTGGAATATGTATGCTATAACAGGTGAGAATGATTATTATAAAATATAAATTAATAGCCGGCATCTGAATTTTTTAACTTCGAGGGAAGGGAGGGTTTACCGCGCTCGGGGAGGGAAAAGCAATACTGGGGAGTGCGCACCTAAATGGGGGATCTGTTACTGGAACTAAAAGATTTATAATTTTCGCAATAAATCAAATGTTTATGTAATAATAATATTTAAAATTCAAAACCCATACTTTGGCCATTTTATAAATTCTTAGGCGTGAAAATTATTCATGTGAATCACTGAAAACTCTCTAGACTCATTTTTAAAATTTAATTTAAGGGTTGTAAACATAGTATTTTTTTTCAAATAGAGTATAAATTTATAATGAAGATTAATATTAAAAACCTTTATAGGATATTTTTGTTTGGTAGTAAATACTTTTATTCCCAATTAAAAAAAAACTCCAGATAGCATGCAATATCGTAAAAAAAATATTTAAAAAATGGTATATGTAATATGTATGTATTAAAAACATAAAAAAACACAATACCATACTAAAATATATAATTAGCAATTAAACATAAAATATCTTTAATTTATTGGGCAAAACTCCTTTTTATAAAAAAAACTAAATTATTGTACTGACTCTCATTACTTTCAATTTAGTATGTAAGCTCACTACATGATTACAGAATTTGAAAAGGTTATCTCTAAACGTAAAAATAATATATTGATCTATAAAATTTTTCTATGAATCCATGATGTAAAAAAACATTATCAACCATTAGAATTTAGTGCCCTAAAAAAATCCCCCACTTACAAGAGCCCTAGTCACCTTTTATAACTTGTCCTTAACTATTTAGATCTCGATTAACATAGATATTTTGTTAATAATAATATAAACAAATCCCAATAAATATATAGATTACAGTAAAACCTCTACAAGATTTACATTTAACAGCCGTTTTTTATGGCGACAATTAGTAAATGGTCATTAAA